AATGCCTTTTTCTCAATTCCAGTTTCGAAGGAACACCAGAAGCAGTTTTCCGTAAACTGGCAAGGCCAGAAATACACCTTCACTGTTCTACCTAGGTCATAATTTAATCTGCAGGGATGGGATGACCCTTCCTTTCCAAAAGATGTCACACTGGTCCATTACATTTATGACATTAGACTAATTAGACCTAGTAAGGAAGAAGTCTCTTGTGACTCTGGAGTTACTGGCGAAACATTTGCATGCTAGAGGGTTGGAAATTAATCCAACAAAAAAGCACCTTCCACCTCTGTGAAATTTCTAGGGATCCAGTGATGTGGGGCACATCAAGATACAGCTTCTAAAGTGAAGGATAAGTGATTGCATCTGGTCCCTTCCACAACTGAAAAAGAGGCACAATGCCTGGTGGCCTGGTGGGCTCCTTGGATTCTGGAGGCTACATATCCCTCATTTAGGTGTGCTACTCCAGCCTATATATCAAGTGAATTGAAAAGCTGCTAGTTTTGAGTGGGGCCCAGAACAAAAGAAGGCTCTGCAACAGGTTCAGGCTGCTATGCAAGCCACTCTGCCACTTAGACCATATGATCCAGCTGATCCAATGGCGCTTGAAGTGTCAGTGGCAGATACAGATGCTGTTTGGAGTCTTTGGCAGGGCCCTGTTGGTGAATCACAGTGCAGATGCTTAGGATTTGGGAGTTAAGATCTGCCATCCTCTGCAGATAACTACTCTCCTTTTGAGAAACAGCTTTTGGCTTGTTACTGGGCCTTAGTAGAGACTGAACGCTTAACCACGGGCCACAAAGTCACCATGTGGCCTGAGCTGCTCATCAAAACCTAGGTGGTGTCTCACCCACGGAGTCATAAAGTCAGATGTGCACAGCAGCACTCCATCACTAAATGAAAGTGGTATATATGAGATCAGGCTCAAGCAGGACCTGAAGGCACAAGTAAGTTGCATGAGAAAGTGGCCCAAATGCCCATGGTCTTCACTCTTGTCACAATACCTTCTATCTCCCAGTCTGCACCTATGGCCTTATGGGGAGTTCCTTATGATCAGTTGGCTGAAGAAGAGAAAACTCGTGCCTGGTTTACAGATAGTTCTGTGCAATATGCAGACACCACTAGAAAGTGGACAGTGGCAGCACTTTAGCCCCTTTCTGGGACCTTCCTGAAGGACAGTGGTTAAGAGAAATCTTCCCAATCGGCAGAACTTCGAACAGTGCACCTGATCGTTCACTTTGCTTGGAAAGAGAAATGACCAGATGTGCAATTGTGTACTGATTCATGGGCTGTGGCCAATGGTTTGGCTGGATGGTCAGGGACTTGGAAGGAACGTGATTGGATAATTGGAGACAAGGATTTATGGGGAAGACTATGTGGACACATCTCTCTGAAGGGGCCAAAGAAGTGAAGATATTTGTGTCTCACGTGAATGCTCACCAGAGGGTGACCTCAGCAGAGGAGGATTTTAACAATCAGGTGGACATGTTCTATGGAAACCAGTCATCCTCTTCCCCCAGCCACTGCTGTCATTGCCCAACGGGCTCATGAATAAAGTGGCCATGGTGGCATGGATGGAGGTTATGCATGGGCTCATCAACATGGTCTTCCACTCACCAAGGCCAACTTGGCTACAGCCACTGCGGAGTGCCCAATCTGCCAGCAGCAGAGACCAACACTGAGTCCCCGGGATGGCACCATTACCTGAGTTAATCAGCCAGCAACCTAGTGGCAGATTGGTTATATTGGACCACTTCCATCATGGAAAGGGCAGTATTTTATTCTTACTGGAACAGACACTCTGGATATGGATTTGTCTTCCTTGCATATAGTGCTTCTGCCAAAAGTATCATCTGTGGACTTACAGAATGCCTTATCCACCATCCTGGTATCCCACACAGTATCACTTTGGATCAAGCGACTTACTTCACAGCAAATGAATTGTGGCAGTGGACCCATGGTCATGGAATTTACTGGTCTTGCCATGTTCCCCATTATCCTGAAGGAGCTGGCTTGATAGAACCATCGAATGGCCTTCTAAAGACACAATTATGGTGCCAGCTAGGTGGCAATACCTTGCACGATGTTCTCCAGGAGGCTGTATATGCTCTAACCAGTGTCCAATATATGGTGCTATTTTTCTCATAGCCAGGATTCACGTGTCCAGGAAACAAGGGGATGGAAATGGGAGTGCTAGCACTCACTACTATCCCTAGTGACCCACTTGCAAAGTTTTTGCTTCTTGTCCCCACGACCTTATGCTCTGCAGGTCTAGAGGTCTTAGTTCCAAAGGGAGGAATGCTCCCACCTGGAGACACATCCCTGATTCCATTGAACTGGAAGCTAAGAATGCCACCTCGCCACTTTGGGCTCCTTATGCCTCTGGATCAACAGAGAAAGAAGGGAGTAACAATATTGGCTGGTGTGAATGGCATTCCCATTCCTGATTACCATGGGGAAATTGGATTGATATTACATAACGGAGGTAAAGAAGAGTATGTCTGGAATACAGGAGATCCCTTAGGGCATCTCTTAGTACTACTATGCCCTGTGATTAAAGTCAATGGAAAATTATATCAACTCAATGCTGACGTGACTGCTAATGGCCTAGACCCTTTAGGAATGAAGGTTTGGGTCATCTCACTAGGCAAAGAACTAGGACCAGTTGAGGTGCTTGCTGAGGGTAAAGGGAATATGGAATAGGTGGTGGAAGAAGGTAGTTCTATATACCAGTTACGACCACGTGACCAGTTGCAGAAAGGCGGACTGTAATTGTTATGAGTATTCCTCCCTTGTATGTGTGCATCAGATATTTTTGTTTTCTGTACTTATAAAATGTAGGATGTAGACACCAGCTTGCTCCTGCCCCAGGACCCCTGCACGTGCTGGTCCCTTGGCTGCAAAGGAAAGTTGGGGCAGGCGGGAGGTGCGCAGAGGGTTGGCAACACAAAGTGGAGAGAACCAGGAACACTATCATGAGAAGGGTTAGTGCCTAGCCAAAAGATAACTAGGTGATTACAACATAAGAACTCAACAACGAGAACCACCTGGGGGACTCGGCAAAATGCAGAAACCCAGGCTTCTCCCCTGTGGGGTCTCCTGTGCATCATCAGCTCTGACACCAGCTGATTTAGAAACACATCACATATGAGAATTTTTAGAATAAACCCTGATATGGGGGAGACTGGAAACCCTAGTGGTATAGTGGTTAAGAGCTACGGTTGCTAACCAAAAGGTCGGCAGCTCAAATCCACCAGGTGCTCTTTGGAAACCCTATGGGGCAGTTCTACTCTGTCCTATAGGGTCGCTATGAGTCAGAATCGACTCGACAGCAATGGGTTTTTAACTAGATAGGGGAGACTAGATTCAGGGGAGGTGTGCTAGGAGGTCAGATGAGATTTTAGCCTGTGCAAGGCAGACAGGAAACAAAAGCGTTGTCTGTGAAACAAGAAGGAAATGTGGGGCTTCCTTGCTCTGCACGGGGCTCATGCACATTCCTTTGGCAGGATGGCCACAGCAGGACTCCAAGGACACAGCTCTCTCTTTTTAGGAAGAGGCAACTCTGAGAAAAACCTGTTTCATGAGAGCAGCGGTTCCTCAGAGCCCAAGAGCAAACCTCTTGGCCAGTGAGGGGTCAGGAGGCCTTAGTCACTTCCCCAGGTTATGCTCTTTTGGCCAAGGAGCTATGTAAGCATTCTCATGACATCTATGTTGGGAAATAGTGCTAAGAAAATGTCAAATGTGCAGATCTCAGGGACAACACAGACAGGTGCCTACATGAAGGACCACGTATCTTCCCCTCCCCCACCCCATTAGACTGTCATTCTAGTCACTGCTGCGTCAACCGGCACTGCTTGGTGGTTTTTAGGGTCGCTTTTTTTAAAAAAAAGAGTATTGTGTTTAAGATCTTTTTTTTTTTGAAGAATATAGTCTGAGGAAAATTCTTTAAATAGATTGGTAGTCAAACACTTCTACTTCTGGGAAAAGTTCAACAAAGTCAGCTGGATATTAGTCAACATGCCTGATGAGCTGTCTTACTGTTTCTGTTTAAGTCTCCAAGGTTAGAACATAACAGTTTTAATCTGTGTCACTCGGTAAGTATCTCTGGAGAGGCCCTGACTGTAGCAAAAAAGCGCCTGGTGAGCACCATCCTACTGGTCACCTTCTGCCAGAGACCCTCAGGAGAACAACATTGACAGTGGCCCAAAGACAGCTCCTTATTTTCTCTTGACCACTGAGTCTGCCTAGACTTGGCCTGCATCTCTAAGGCCTTCTAATATTTAAATTTATATTGAATTATTAAACATATTAGTGAACCACACCAAACCAAATCCATTGCTGTCAAGTTGATTCTGACTCATAGTGACCCTACGGGAGAGAGGAGAACTGCCCCACAGGGTTTCCAAGCAGTGGCTGGTGGATTCAAACTGCCGACCTTTTGGTTAGCAGCCCAGCTCTTAACCACTGCACCACCAGGGCTCCTAGCAATGAATAGAGTTTAGAATATGTACGTTCTGTTCGAATTTGGAGTTCATAGGCTGAAGTCCACAAACCTGTAGCAAATTTGCTTTAATTCTACCCTATTAGCACTTAGTTCCAAGTGAAAAGAGAAATAAAGTCTCAGATCATGAGAGTGAGTTGGGTGAATAAGGAGGTATTTTTATTTTAGTTGGATAAACTAGTTGTCAAGCACACTACATTTTGCCATTAAAAGCAAAATATGTAACTGAATACATTTTCTTTAAACATTGTGTCCCTCAGTGGCAAAAAACAGTGTTCCCTTTAGGCTCAGACTGGGTGAAACACACAGCGGAAGCTATAAGCGAGAGCTACAGTTCCAAGTCTTCACAGCAGGCCAACATGTGAGTTGTCAGACGATGGTGCATGAGCCCTCTCCCCACAAGGTCACTTGACTTGGAGTTCAGTAATGGGGAAGCTGAAGTACTCCCAACTATCAAACAGGTCTGGGGGTAGGAATATAGGGGAAAAGACAAAATACTCACAAAAATTTTCCATTTGTCTTTGATCCTATTAGGACAATCTGCTCAGACTCATCCCGGGAGATTTTTCCATGGAACCACGGCATTTTTTCATGGGCAGTGGTGGCAATGAGCTTCTCTAGCTGTGGCTTCTGGCTGATGATGGCTTGCTCCAAAGCTTGACCCTGCCACATGGAGGGTTCCGAGGAGGAAAGAGACAGCAGAGTAAGTAGTACTAAAGAAAATTTTTAAAAAGATGCACAAGTCATTTCCGTTCAGTCATGAGCTCCAACATGGTAAAATAAGATCAAATTTATCTATTATCCATCCACCCATCCACCCATCCATCCATCCATCCATCCATCCATCCATCCATCCACCTATCATCCATTCACTCATTCATTCAACAAAACAAATAAGATCTTTATATATTATGTAAGTACCTTCAAATTTACAAGAAACAAAACAGATTTTAGAATAGGGAGGTTGGCCTTTTAACAGCCAGATAAGGCTTTAGAAACCATCTGGTATAATCCATGAGATCTAGAGACCCTTCAGATTACAGTTTACTAGAAGAGGTTGTTCTGTATTAGAAACTGATCATTTAATAACAGTTAAGAAGCCTTAGAAGAGCTCATACATCCAGAGGTATGAATGTAATACTTTCATATCTGCTTCTACAAGGTTTCACTCTATAAATACTCATGTATCCTGCTGCTTGCAACCACAAAAAGTAATGGTGATCAACCTTGACACTGTAGACGTAACAAAGTGAAGAACACACACAGGAAAACGAGCTGAAAACTAAGTGGACTGGTTTCCTGATCTTTCTCTGGGGCAGAGAAATAGATCCTCTCTACAGTGATAAAGAAGAGCCAGGGTTTGATTATTTCAAGTTACAAAGAGAATCCGAAGAAGTAAAGGTAAAAATATAACCAACCCAAAGCAGGAGATGGGAGCAGAAGGGAAGATGGAACAGAATGTGAGTGTGGTCATTGTATCATGTTTCACAGATGGAACAGGTGACATGCCAGAGGGGCATGTGGGACAAAGTGAGCTGAGAGGTCCAAGGTGAAAGGGGGTAGAATGCGACTCAGCCACACACAAAACACAAACCAATGGCACATGCACAACACACACGATTGCAAATTCATTAGGCTACATGAAAGATGCCACTCTTGAAAAGGCTATGTTCATAGGACATCCTGTATGACATTCAGGAAAAGTCTGAGCTACAGAAACAGAACTCAGAGGAGTGGTTTCAGGGTCTGGGGTGTGGGGAAGAGCGTGAGGGTATTTGATGGGGTGATGGGACCACTGCATACCTTGATTGTGGCGGGGGCTACCTGACACTATGTGTTTGTCAAAAATCATAGAACTGTACACCTAAAAAGGATGACTTTTACCTCTATCCATCTGATTTTATCTGACTTTAGTGATGAACATAATTAATGTCGCTGAATTGTCCGCGTAAACAATGTTAAAATGGCAAACATTTGTTACATATATACTTATCACGGGACCCTGGTGGGAGAGTGGTTAAGAGCTCAGGCTGCTAACCGAGAGGTTTGTAGTTCGAATCCACCAGCTGCTCCTTGGAAACCCTATGAGGCAGTTCTACTCTGTCCTATAGGGTCACTATGAGTTGGAATCGACTCGGTAGCAATGGGTTATATTTACCACAATTTAAAAAAGAGAAATTAGTTGAGAGTGTTCTCTCCTCTTCTATTTTTTTCTTTTTTTGGAGAGTTAAAAAAAAAGAAAAGACATGGAGGAAACTTAAGTGTGTAGTGCTAAATGAAAGAAGCCAGTCTGACAAGGCTACCAACTGTTTGATTCTAACTACAAAATTCTGGAAAAGGTAAAATGATCCACAGTGAAAAAAAGATCAGTGGTTGCAGGGATTCCGAGGGCGGGGAGAGGAATGAACAGGTGGAACACAGGACACTTTTAGGGCAGTGAAATTATTCTGTATGATACTGTAATGGCAGACACATGACATTATGCATTTGTCAAAACGCAGCACAGATTGTGAACCCTAATGTAAACGATGACCTTTAGTTAATAATAACAATGTATCCATATTGGTTCATCAATTGTAACAAAAGCTCCACATGGGGGCAGGGTGACTACTGGGATCTCTGTGTACTTTCTCCATAATATTTAAAAAAAAAGAAACTGTTCTAAAAAATAAAGTCTAATTAGAAAAAAAAGAGAGTAGAAGGGTAATCTAAGGCATATCCAATAAATGCTAATGAAAAATGCTGAGCTCACAGCATTGACATCTGTCTGTGAGGTTGAATTTAAGACAGACGATATTAAAAGTGTGCAAGGAGCCACTGTATGTAACCTTCAAACAGTCTATACTGTCATAAATCTGTATGTATCAGAAAACAGCAAAAAATGCACTGAGCGTACACCCAGGACACGCAAGGAGAAATTGTTGAACAATAAGTCCAAGCAAGAGGCTGTCAATCAAACCAGCTGACTCATGACACTAAGCATCATTAAGAATGTGGCAGATCAAGAGACAGAAAGGGCCACATAAACCAAAGATTGCATCATCCTGAGACCAGAAGCACTAGATGGTGCCCAGCTACCACCAATGACTGCCCTGACAGGGAACACAACAGAGAGTCCCCGATGGAGCAGGAGAAAGATGGGGTACAGAACTCAAATTCTAGTGAGAAGACCAGACTTAATGGTCTGACTGAGACTGGAGGAATCCTGGAAAGCATGGCCCCTGGATTCTCTATCAGCCCAGAAATAAAACAATTTCCGAGACCAACTCTTCAGACAGGGATTGGACTGGACTATGGGACATAAAGTGATACTCATGAGGAGTGTATCTCTTAGCTCAAGTAGATACAAGAGACTAAACGGGCAGCTTCTGTCCAGAGGTGAGATGGGAAGGCAGAGAGGGTCAGGAGCTGGTTGAATGGACACGGGGAATCAGGGGTGGAAAGAAGGATGGGCTGTCACAGCATGGGGAGAGCAATTAGGGTCATATAACAATGTATGTATGAATTTTTGTATGGGAGACTAACTTGAAATGTAAACTTCATTTAAACTACAACAATAAAAACATTAAAAAAAAATAATGTGGCAGGAATGTTAAGTTGTCACAAACTCTGCAATCTTTCTGGATGGCAACTTGTCACCATATACCCAAATTAAATATGCACATCCTTTAACTTGGCAAACCCAACCCATTCAAAGTTTATCCTCCAGATATTGTGTAAAAGCTTAGTAAATTGTTGTTAGCTGTTGTTAACCATGATTCATGGTGATCCCATGTGTTAGAGAGCAGAACTGTGCTTCACAGGTTTTTCTTGGCTGTAATCTTTACAGAAGCAGATTGTCAGGCCTTAAGAGCAGCATTATTTGTAAGTAATGGAAGTGTCCTTCAGTAACTTATGCCGTCGAGTCGATTCTGATTCATAGCAACCCTATAGGACAGAGTAGAACTGCCCCATAGAGTTTCCAAGGAGCGCCCGGTGGATTTGAACTGCTGACCATTTGGTTAGCAGCTGTAGCACTTAACCACTGTGCCACCAGGGTTTCTGTCCTTCAATAGGCACTAGTTAAATAAATTAAAGTACATAGGAGGGAATAACATGCACGAAAAAAAGAAAGAAAGGATGACAATACCACGTGTGTGCTGATATGGGATATTCTGCAAGAGATAATATTAAGCTACAAAATCAAGTGCCAATCAGTGTGCACAGGATGACCTCTGTTAGGTAAATAAAAAACAAGGGACACCTATAGATGCCTTTCTGAAAGGGAGCACCATGAGCAACAGTGGTTTCCTTTGCCAGAGAAACCCACATCACCGGCATTCAGGGACTTATACCCTGGGACGCACACACGGTTTGCACTCATCTACTAATCTAAAGGTTGGCAGCTCGAAGTCACCCAGCAGCACCGCGGAAGAAAGGCCTGGCGATACGCTTCTGTAAATATTACAGCCAAGAAGATTCTACTACTCTGTAACACCTGGGGTAGCCATGAGTCAGAATCGACTTGATGGCAACAAGTTTTTGTTTTGTTTTTTCACTCTCAACAATGGTTGCAAAAGAGAAGGGCTGCCTCCTGGAGCAAGTCCATTTTGGGCCAAAGTTGATGACTAAGGAGATGGCTGAGTATTAGCGGCAACACTATATGATTGGTTTCCCATGTAAGTGGGATGTCTATGGAATTACAAGGGATCCTGAACAAGTGGGGCCCTCCACGGTAGCAGCATCAGCAGCTGGCTCACCTGCAGATTCCACGTCTGTTTCACGTACTCCCTGATGAGGTTTTCTTTCAAGTCTTCAAAGGGTCCAGTCTTGGGCTCCACCCCAGGGGGCCGGCTGAAGGCCTTCTTCAGGAGGCAGACGAGGCCATCAGTCTCCTGGGAGTGGTAGAGGCAGAGGTCGGCGGGGCTGGCGTGGGTCCTGCCACCCGCGATGGCATAGGTCCCGTTCAGCTCACGCTCGATGGTGTAATGGTGCGCCTTCCTCCCGGAGGCCACGGACAAGGCAAACCCTCCCAGGTAATTGCGGCTCTGGCGCAGCAGGTAGAGCCCATCGGTCATACCCCCCTGCACCAGGTAGTCTTCTGCCTCCTCTCGGGTGATGTTGCCAAAAAAGAAGGGCAGGTTGTTGGCAGAGTCAGACGGGCCACTGGCCATGGCTGCCTCTTCTCCTGATGGCGATGGGAGGTTGTATGCAGACGTATCCACCTGGGGCAAAATAAAGACGGGACATCAGGTAAGGGACACCAAAGCCGCAAGGTACATTTCCTAAATCCATCTGAGCCCTTCTAGGTCAGCACGGGACCTCTTCCCTCTGTGGACTTTGGCGTAGCGCCCCCAAAATGCCGTTGACCTTTCTGCTCACATAACCACTACAGCTTCCCAGCACACCCTCAGAATATTTAATTTAAAGTGACAAAAGTGACCAAATTAACTTTTGTTTTTGTGTATGTCAGTGCAATGAGGAGCCCTGGTGGTGCAGTTGTTAAGAGCTCAGCTGCTAACCAAAAGATCGGCAGTTCGAATCCACCAGGCACTCCTTGGAAACACTATGGGGCAGTTCTACTCTGTCCTACAGGGTCGGTATGAGTCGGAATTGACTCCACGCAACTGGTTTGGGCACAATGAATTCTAAGAAATAGCCACCTAAAAAAGAGAAGAACGGCTGCAAAACTGGACTTCCTAGCATCTAACCTGACAGTCAGCTGATGGCACACAGAGACTGTGGCCAGCATAAAGTTAAACCAATGACTTCCCCTGAGATGCAGACAGTTTTAAATAAAACGAACAGCTCATCAGGGTTATGTTACCAATGAAAAAATCACTAAATAATTTTCCACCTGAAATACAAGATTCTACTTTGTTTAGCCACATACTATAGTGAAACATCAGTGAGCTGATGTGACAGCCCCACATACACACCAAGTAAAACCTGGTGACAGTGGTCACAAGGCCTTCCCACCTTTGGCCTTGGGTGATAACAGCAACAGGCTGTTGCCTTCAGGCATGAAAAGTGACATCCTCCCAGAGTCCCTGTAGGCCTCAGGGTGGCCACTGTTTGCTACCATCTGTTATGGGTTGAACTGGGTCCCTCCAAAAGAGCCCTTCAAGATTTAAGCGCCCTGTACCTGTGAACGTGACCTTGTTTGGCAATAGGGTCTTTGCAGATGTAATAGTTAATACGAGGTCATACTGGTGTAGGGTCGGTCCTAATCCAGCATGAGTGGAATCTTGATAAAAAGAGAGGAGACACAGAGGGAAGACAGCCATTGTGAAGATGGAGCCAGAGGCTGGGGTTATACTGCCACAAGCCAAGGAAGACCTGGGGCCACCAGAATTTGAGAGAAATAAGAACGTGAAAGGGGCTGTGTGGAAATTTCACATTTATTGTTCATTGCCAGAAGTACAGGCCTAGCTTCCTGGGTATTGTGGTATTGTTAATGCCTACCTTGCATAGTTCACTTTTGCATGCTCCTGTGATTTTGATTTATTTTCCTCCTATCGTCCCTCTTGCTTTCCCATGATATTTTCTTTTTTGTTACTCTTTCTCCCTCCTCCTATTCTAGTCAGATTAACTAAAGTTTCTTCTTGGAGGGTAGCAGAACAAATTGATAACCCTCAAGGACTAGGATTAACCCATCTACGATGTGACAGTTGTAACTAATGGTGCCAGATAACCTCTGAGGACCGCCAGTAAGAAGTTAGATCATCTGGGGCGTGCAGAAGAATGTAAACCACCGGAAGAGAAACTATAATCCTGTCCATATAAAACCTTCAGCCAGTCTCCATTCGGAGAGACAGGTCTTTTGGAGGAGCTCATTCCCCTCTGTCTCCTGTATATCGATATACAATAAAACACTCTTGCTGCTCACCTCACCCGTCTCAGTATTGGCTGCTGCGGCAGGTGGCTCAGACCCGCCATTGCGCTAACAGAAGGATCTTCCCCTAGAGCCTTTGGAGAGAACATGGCACTGCTGACACCCTGAATTCAGACTTCTGGCCTCCAGATCTGCCAGCCAATACATTTCTGTTCTTATCAGCCACCTAGTTTGTGGTATTTGTTACAGCAGCCCCAAAATACAAGGTTCCACTTTGTATTGTCACATGCTGCAGTGACACCTCAGAGCACTGACATGACAGCCTCGCTCACACACGAAGTATAACCACAACAGTGGTCACCACAAGGCCTTCCCACCTAGGGCCTGGGTGAAAAGACCAACAACCACTTCCTTGAGGCATGAAGAGCGACATCCTCCCGGGCCCCCTTGGCCTCAGGACATCACACTGCCCACTGCCCCCTTCTCCAGGCAGGGAGTGAGAAGAGCATCCGGACCGCTTCCTGGGTGCCAGCATCTACCATATACATTATTCATGTGAAAGAAACAGTGTGGGTTCCACACTGGATGAGGACATTTGCTGCAGAAAAGATAATTCTCCTACTAAATAGACACTTCAACACCATTGTCATGCGTCCTTCAGAAGAAAGGGTAGGCTGTCGGCATATTTTTAACAGGAAGAGTGTTTTCTCTCAGTGGCAGTTGTGAGAAGGATACTTATTGCTAGTCTAGAAAGTCTCCCAAGAGGTGTATATTTTCACCAAACGGGCTTGTCATCAATAGAAAATTATCTTGATAACTCTACCAGTTCATCTAGGAGAAAAGGACTGGTCCAGTTGCCACTGAACGGATTCCAACTCACGGCCACCCCACGTGTGTCGGAGTACACCTGTGCTCCACAGGGTTTTCAGTGGCTGACTTTGGAAGTAGGTTGCTGGGCGTCTCTTCTGAGGCAACTCTGGGCAGGGGTGGGCGGGGGGAGAACTCCAACTTCCAACCTTTTAATTAGCAGCTGAGCATGTTATCCATTCGTACCACTCAGGGAGAAATGTTGTTGTTGTTGTTAGGTGCTGTCAAGTCAGTTCTGACTCATAGCGACCCTACATACAACAGAACGAAACACTGCCTGGTCCTGCGCCATCCTCACAATCATTGCTGTTTCAGCCCATTGTTGCAGCCACTGTGTCAATCCATCTCGTTGAGGGTCTTCCTCTTTTTCACTGACCCTCTACTTTATAAGTAGAACTCAACTCAATGGCAAACAACTACAACTGCCAAGCATGATGTCTTTCCCCAGGGACTGATTCCTCCGATAACACATCCAAAGTATGTGAGACGTAGTCTCACCACCCTTGCCTCCAAGGAGCATTCTGGCTGTGCTTCTTCCAAGACAGATATGTTCATTCTTTTGACAGTCCACGGTATATTCAATACTTTTTGCCAACATCGCAATTCAAAGGCGTCAATTCTTCTTCGGTCTTCCTTATTCATCGTCCAGCTTTCACTTGCATATGAAGCGATTGAGAACACCCTGGCTTGAGTCAGGCGCACCTTAGTCCACAAGAAATGTACACGCCCTTTAATGCTCCTCAAAGGCACAGTTATGTGAAACAGCCGTTCCTCAGTATGAATTGTTCTACCCCACCCCCCCAAAAAAAAACCAAAATATTGCCGTTGAGTCGATTCCAGCTCATAATGACCCTATAGGACAGAGCAGAACTGCCCCATAGGGTTTCCAAGGAGTGCCTGGTGGATTTGAACTGCTGACCTTTTGGTTAGCAGCCATAGCATTTAACCACTGCGCCACCAGGGCTTCTGAATTGTTCTACAAGTGGCTGTAAAGCAAGAACACTGGCCTGATAGAGGTCATGGGATTTTCTCTAGGCACCACCATGCAGTCAGTACTCCTGTGTGGCCAACCCCTCACAGCACAGGAGCTTCATCATAATTGGATAGCACAAATCAGTCATTTTCTTGCTGTGCTTCTCATAGCATTGGACTATCAATGACTCCTTTTTCTTTGTTCAGCACATTCTAAAAACTCACCTCTCAACAAGATTTTTTTTTTTTAAGGAGTTCATATTTGCTCTGAAGTCTAAGAATACTATCAATAAAGAAGAGATCTCTGGAAAACAGTGAGTTGACGGGTCTTTGGGAAGGCATATTTCTCTTCTGATTCTCTGTTTTCCTCTAACGCTAGTCCTTCGGTGCTGTTGTCGCTGGTTCTGCCCTGCCCTCCCCTTAAATGGCGAAGCCCTCAACCCTCCTTTCTCACACTACGCTCCTCCTCTGCCCTGGGTCTTCCTAGCAGTGCTCCGTGCCCCCCAACCCCTTGCAGTTCTACCTTCTCTCTGTCTGCCCAGTGACCCCAGTACTGCCCAAGCCAGCACCTCTGAAACTTTCAGGAGCCTGGTAGCCTCCCAGGACTTCGTTACAATGCAGGGCTCTGCAGCGCTCTGTGCCAACACTTCAGGTGATGCTGACCATACCTGACAGCCAGCTCATACCAGCCATCTGCCGCCCTGTCTGCCTGCGCTGGTCCGGGCAGTGACCCCAGCTGCAGCCCACTCTCCGTACCTAGGAACATGGGCATTCCGAGTCCTTGCTGTGTCTCACACTCGTCTTCCAGTCTCCTGCCCACTGTTCCTCCAAGTGGCTTTGGCACATGTGCCTGACTCCCCTCATCTATGCCATTGTCTTGTCTAAACACACTGTCTCCAGTCTGCACTGCTGGGTACTCTGCTGGCCTTCTACCCTCCCCTCCTTTTCTTCCTCTTTCACAGACGTATCACCATGATTGCTGTCACCTCCCTCTCTTGCTAACAGAGGCAGCTTCCCCTGCCCAAACCATCTCACATGTCCTTGCCCTCCCCATCCTCAATCTCATTTCTACAGGCCTGGGGCACAGGCCACGGAGGACATCCTCCAGCCAGCAATGCCTCCAGGACCCTCTGTCATGTCTGTGCTCAAGGCACTCCCTCTGCTTGGGGGCTGCACCCTCTTGCTCCCCCGGCCACATCCGGTCATCTTTTCAGACCTAACTCAAATGCCACCACACTGTGTTACTGTCCCTAACTTCTCATGTCCTCTTTATGCAGTGGTAGTCCACTGCTGGCTTCAACTAACAGAGTAAGCCTTAAAGAACAGTATTTTCAGTAAAATGTCAACACTTTCTGATTTCTAAAAATTGTAACATGACTACCACATTTGTTGATTCATTGGCTTGCCACTCACGTCTGCATCAGTGTCGACATCTGGGTGTGAACTGCACGTTGAAGTGAACCCACGTATGATGAGATGGCTGTGACCAGGCCTGCTGGGAGCACAGGTAACCTCAGAGCAGCCCTGCCTGGCCCAGTCCTGCGGGTGCAG